CTGAACTGCCTATTTGAGACTAGTGCAGAACTAAGGTCACGTCGTGAAACGGTCCACCTAAAAGGGTTTAGCGCGGTATCTTTTGCGGGCGTTTTCAAATGTTCGATTTGATATCAAATCAAAATTCTCGCCGCAACCAACTGAGCATCAGCCAACAAAACCGTCTGCCAGCAACAAGGGATAGTTAAAAATGACACCGTCTGCTACAAATGGCACTGCTGCGATACCAGAACTTCTTGAAGAGCTGAACAAAGCTCCCGAGGGCGTTGTTCTGCCTCCCAGGGACATTAGAAGTCAGTACTCACCTAGACTACCACCATAGCTGAACCCGAGGGCTGAACATAGATCCATATTTGGATGCGTAACTGACATCTTTCATAGCTATTATCGAGAAGACCGCTGGATTTGTCGCCCGTAATGGACCTGTTTTTGAAGGTAAGCTTACCTCCACGTTTATATAGGGTCCACAACTGTTTCAACTGTTTTCCTGCGCAAACCAACAGAGGCTCATTCATCTTGCTTTTCTCAGATCGAGTACGCGAAAAAGAAAGGTCCAATCCTAAATTCTCCTTTTTGAGCGCAAACGATGCATACTCTGAGTTTTATGCGTGGCGCCTTAGCGAAATAAGGGCCGGTAGGGGGACTGCGGTTTCTGCTGGTCGAGCTGGGGAGGGTGCGGCACCAGAGCCTGAGAAACCAAAGGGTCCTGCTCAACCCCCAGACTATCATTTCTCTGCGCGTATGCCGAACATCAATGCTCTGGACCTTGACGTCGTCAAACTGACTGCCCTGTTTGTCGCCAAGCGAGGGAAATCGTTCATGACCGCCCTGTCTCAGCGCGAAATGAGAAACTTCCAGTTTGACTTCCTCCGACCGCAGCACAGTCTATATCAGTTCTTCACGCGGCTTGTAGACCAATACACGGCCCTCCTTCAAGTCGGCGAGACAGATGGTCCTAATTCGACATCGAGACGATTGTCAGAGCTGGAGAGAAACGTTAAGGATAAATATCACGTTCTTGATCGAGCGAAGCAACGCGCAGACTGGATTAAATATCAGGAACAACAGAAGCAAAAGAAGGAGGAGAAAGAGGAGCAGGAAAGGATCGAATACGCACAAATAGACTGGCATGACTTCGTCGTGGCGGAGACCGTTATTTTCACTGAGGCAGACGATCATGCAGAACTCCCGCCCCCAACTTCCCTAAATGACCTCCAGACTGCATCGCTAGAGCAAAAAGCAATGATGTCTCTACAACCCCACGACAGACGAATCGAGGAAGCCATGCCTACAGAAGAAGAAACAACCTACTATAACGCCTATCCACCCTCTCAAGGTCCAACCCCTCAACCACAACACCCCTCAGCCGCCCCCTCCCCACAACCACACGGCGTACAACCCCAGCATCCCAGCTCCGTATCAACGCCAGCAGACCACGCAACGCAACCACTCGCACCAATCCCAACCCCAACAAACCCCCTTCCGGTTCCCAATGCCGCTACCGTAGCCGCATCTGAAGAAGAAGACCGCATCCGCGAACGCCAACAGGACCGCGAACGTGCCCAGGCCGCCCAAGCCGCCGCATCCGCCATCTCCACCCCAATCCCCGGCTCCACACAACAAACAATGCGCATTCGCTCCGACTACGTGCCCCGCGCACAAGCCAAACGTTTCAACACCACCGCTGCCGCCGCCACAACCCTCTGCCCCAACTGCCGGCAGGAAATCCCGATTAACGAAATCGACCACCACATGCGCATCGAGCTGCAGGACCCGCGGTGGAAGGAACAACGTGCAAAGGCCGAAGCGCGCTATGCAACTACGAACCTATCAACGGCGGATGTCTTTAATAACCTGAAGCGATTAGCTAGTCAGCGGACGGATGTGTTCGATCCAGCTCTTAGCGCTCTGGATAACGTAGGTGCCGATGGCGGGCAACAGGGTGCTGCTGCTGGCGCTGGTGGAGAGGGCGCACTAGATCCGGAGGAGGAGGCGAGGCACAAGCGTGCTGCAACTGGGATGGGGATTGCGGGGATGCCACCCGGTGTCCCTGGTTATGAACTGGCGCCAGGACAGAGTCAGGGACTAGATGGACAGGCACAGCTCCAGGGACAGGGGCCGTATATTCCTGGTCATCCACCTCCCGGTGGTCCTCCGCCTCCCGGGCAGAGCGTTAATATCGAAGAGCAGATTAGGCATATTCACCAGAAGTTTAAGCAGTGAGTCGTGGGAAGGGGGATGGGCAGGGTATTCTTGATATGTATTCTCTGGTTCTTGTTATTGCTTTTAAAGTGGCTATATATCTGTATGGTGTTCTGGTGGGGTTGTTTCATACCTCTTCTATTGTACTCTTTTACCGTACGGATCTTAATTTTCAGGCATATATCATGATCGGGCATAAACTTGGGATACCTGTTTCAAGGCTTACAGAACACATTAAATCACACACCTTTTTCCCTCCAAATAGGCTATCTACAGGCAACAAAAGTTTTCATCAATCTCTATGTAGTACAAGAAGAGAACTGTTCCAAAATGGCAGAACCAGAATAAAAGCTTAGTTTTCAAATTACTCGATATGCCGCTTTCTTTTCACCATCTTCCTTCTATTCTTTTACAATAGCAAATAGAAAATAAAAATTAGCAAGGGAGAGCCCAGTGAACGAAATAGGGGAAAATCAGGAAGAAAAAAAACCACACTGCAAATGATATGAATTTCCCAACCCATAGTGAAAAAAAATAGAAACCCATCCCACCAAATTAAGGAAGATGGAAATTAAGGAAATGAAAACCGCAAAGTAGGTTACCAAAACAAAAAGGGAAAGTAAATGGAAACATTAGGAAACCAAGCCAATGCAAGAAAAAAAAACATATGCTAGGTAGTGGAAGAGTGGCTAGAGGAGCAATAGGTAATTAGTTATATATATATATATATGCGGAGCAAAATGGTGTAAAATAAAGAGAAAAGAGGAGAATGAAAAGGCTCTCAGATATCAAAAGAGGAATTAGGCTTATGACGGTATGAGGCTACTATTAGAACAGTGCCCCAGGTGGGATCCCATTTTGCCCTTCCGGTCTAGAATATTCATTTCCTGTAAACGAAAAAAGAGGGGAGAGAAGGGCGAATGGGTGGTGATCGAGGCGGAAGATCGAATCGGATAACATTAAGTGTAGCGGAAATAGATCCATGGATATTAGTTGACTTGTGCAAAGGGAAAAAGTAGGCTGTGCAAGTGAGATGTGTTATGTGCACACGATGGGGAAACAAGGGGGATAAATATAAATTAAGGAAATATGAGTTTTTCAGTTGATGGATAGCATATGTAGATGACATGGAGTATTATAGAAACTATGACGTCTGAGCACGCGTTTTATTTACCTCTTCCATGCTGTGGTTGTAGGGGCGTGGAGGTAACGGTTCAGAAGCACGTAGAGGAGAATAACGTCCGCAAGTGATGTGTGAAGTCGTCCATCAAAGCCGTCAGAGCACACAGCTAGACCGGGACCAGTTATAGGAACCAAAATAAGACCTATAGGCATGGAACCGCGGCGTTCGGCTGTTTTTCGATACATAAAGGGAAAGAGAAAAAAAAAAGCAAAATGAGAAATGACTACTAAGTATTGATAGTAGAATATGTGCATATAATGATACAGGCGCGCTGCGCTAGAAAAATGGAAGCATGAGCCTTGGACAGTTTGACGAAACGCACAGCAGTCGAAATCCTACATGCCATTGGCGCCGGCACATACGATAGGCCGAAAATTGTGGCAGGACGATGCACCAGCCCTCGACGAATTTAGACGGAAGAACGAGGGCATTTTAAGCAATATCACGCTCAAAGGTCAGGAGTCTTGAGAACGGCAACTTTCAACTTTGGATCTGTCCCAGCGCTGTTTCTCAATGGCGTCACTGGTCTGATAGGGTCCAATTGCTCTTGCGAGACTATTTTCGGATCCAGGATATGATATTCATTAATTGGTAAGTCTCGTATTAGACCATTGGGAGACTCATTTTCAGCAGTATTGCTTAAGCTCTTTGTCAGGCTAATTTCAATCCCTGAGTTGGCCACCTCGTTATCCTTGTCAGGCTCGTCAGCTCTAGGTGATTCATGATTGCCAATCTGGGCCGAATGACTATTCGAGATTGCTTTCTCATTAGACGTGAAGGAGTCATCCAGAGGCTTGGTCTCGATCTTCTCCTCGTATTTCTGATAAGATGAATCAAGGCTGCGGATCGAACTGCCCTTGTCGGAACTCTTCGACTGGATGAAAGCAGGCACAACACCTCCTCCGATTCGCGACCAAAACACCCGCTCTCGAAGGCGTATGGTCTCTTCCCACGCTCCCTTCTCATCTTCTTCGTCTACAATGCGAACATGCCCGTCAACGATAAGCCGCAGGTAGCCAACGAAATCGCAACATGATCTCACTTTTTCCAAACAAACCATACACAATGGGTACCTCTGGGCGTTTTCGTTGTCTGATGTACGGAATCGATGACTTCGAATGTTCTCCCCTCCCGCTCTGCCTTCTCCACAGAGTGCGCAAGGAAATGAGTATTTCACAGAGATGGCAGGCATGGGTTCAACGACAAGAGCCCCTTCACATATACTATTTAGAACGGAACGACGTGTTAGCCAAGATATTCCAGGCGCGATATCTAATCTGAGAGTGGGTTCAATATCTTCAGCCAGTGCTCGTTTGTAAAACCGGCTTTCTTTTAGCGCGGTGTGTGGTTCGCGAGGTGACGAAGTGTTGCTTGGAGAACCTGGAAGGCCGGAGATTGACCTCGTTGATCCATTAGAATGCGAGTGATTGTGCTGTGATTCCTTATTACCCGTGAAACTGCCGAACCCAATCACATTCAATCCCCCAAATGACCCGCTGCTAACTCGACTTGAGGGTTTGGAGTTCTTAGATAGCTGTAGCAATGCGCGGAAATCTTCAAAGGCTTGAATATCTGTTCGACAAACCGACTTTATTAAATGCGAGAAACTTGTCGAGGGGGCTGGAGAGATCTCTCCAGATCCTGGCGTGACGGGAGCCAAGTTCATTGCCTCCAACAAACGATTTATGTTATTAGCGGGTTGTTGCGCTGTGCCTGGGGAAGAAGGTGCAGTAGAAGCATCCGTACGGCTGCGTATCTCATCCCGATCGGCATTCATGTGTTGTATGACAGTCTTCAACTCTGTTAGTTGCTCTTGCTGGGAAGCAAGAAGTATTTCATTATCCTGAATTTGTGCTCGAAGTTGTTCATTACGCCGTTCGACGGTCTCTCGTTCCCTCTGCGCGGCGGCGACCATCTGCAGAACAAAGGTTAGAGATCATGTGGAATCAAGACGTGTCATATATATCGGAATCTCACCTTATTAGCCTCCTCAAACAAAGCAGCGGTTAGAGTTTCGAGTTCTAGCTCGATGGCTTTTTTCTCCCTCTGAATGTTCACACGCTGAGTTCGCTGCTCTGCCGCTTCATCCTTGAGTTTTGCCCATTCCTTCTCCACATCCACTCTCTTCATTAGAACGCCACTGGAGAGATCGTCATCGTGTTTGCGAATCTGTTCCTCCATTTGTCGAATCCTGCTCCGTGTAAGTTCTAACTCCCTTCGTGTCGCGGCTAACGTATCATCCAAGACCGTCTGATTATTGATGGCCTGGATGAGCTTGTTGCTGAGGTTTGCCACCTCATTGCTCAAATCGGGGTGTCGTGGTGCCGAAACGGAGCCTACTAAATCTAAGGTGCTAGAATCTCGAGGGTCGCGCAATGTTGAGAGGGAATCTTCAGAGGGACCTTCGAGGGCTGACAACGAAACATTCGTTGTTCCGGGTCTTCCCACCATATCAGTCAGCGCATTGGCTGACTTGGCCCGATTAACCTTCTTGTTGTTTGGCGAAACAGATCTGATTTCTGCGGAACTTGAACGTAGTTTCTGGACAGGATCGGACGATGTGGAGGAAGCCCGAAGGCTTGGGTAGCCCCATCCATGGATGGAGATTAACCTGATCCCCATTTGTCAGCAAATGAATCAATCAAAGGAGACAGCAATGAGATGGGTGATTCCCGTCAAAATAGTTGTCTGGCCCGTGTCATTTATTCGTGCGGAGTGTAGTGAATCTTACTCGGCCATATTTATTCAGCTCCAGCACGTAACCTTTGTGGCAACAAGAAGAAGGTCCGGATAGCCGGATCGCCAAGGAACAAAGCAAATCACAGAGGATTTAATATCCGTTGACGCGTTGAGCCACTGGGACCGACATTGGAGGGCTTCAAACGAGACGAGACGATAAATCCGGACAATGATGGGTCAGAGAGAGGTACTTCCCCGCGGCGTTGTCGGTGCAGGAGGGGGACAAGGTGGTCGGGAAGCACAAAGTAAACACAAAGCACCCAAGACTAGCTTTCTAGCACTAGCAGCAGGGGAGGCTGCTCATTTGGCAAGGCGTTGCAGGGGAAGCAAGGAGAAAGCAAGTTCTTGGGGGGGGGCGGGTTGTTGCAGACGAAACACGTACGCCACTCTGAAACTTGCAGAACCGTGGAAGTTGACCGTGTTTAACGGGTGCCGGGACTGATGAATGGAGTTGGCCCGTATATCCGTTCGCAAATCTGCGGTTGTTTGTTGGAGTTTGCCTTTTTGGGTTTTGCCGCGAGTTTCCACCGAGGCACGTGAACCCGGCGGCTGACTCAGCAGACTCGTCAACAAGCCTAACTAATTACTATCTGCATGATACAGCAGAACATGACAAAAGGCAGACAAGCCCAGCAAGCAATTAACATCTACGGATCATGCTTTACTGATCATCCCTTGTACTCTGTCGTGCAGCTTGTTATATGGCTTACTTCTTGCTTGCAACATATATATAGTGCTGTCATTCAGACCTGGACATGTGGATTGAGATTTGTTCATGCCAGAGATTCTAAGTATTAAGCTTGGGTAGAACTGGATGAATATGAATTGAAGACGACTATTAGACATGGATGCACCTTTTGCTATGATTGATACCTCAACAAATTTTCATACCTTAGAGATGAAATCTGTAAAACTGCATGGCGGCTGCAGTGCGCAACGACAGGCACTCATCTTTGCATATCAATCATCCAATGAGACTCATCTCTAAGAATCTCCAGCAGTCTATTTAAATAACCTGCGCTGCGTGTGTCTAAAACTTCACCAAAAAATTTTACTCTACTGGCCATTTTTTGAGAGCCCTTCCGAGGAGCCAATGGACAAGACTGGAAAAGAAGAAGAGATTCCACGTCAAAAGACATGCACAACATTTGTGGATGTTATTCTCGAATTTCGAGGGAACCTGCTCGCTCTGCTGCATGATGAAACTTAAATGAGCAGATGTTTCAGTGTCTCAGCCTCCCATAAATGTTCAACCGGTCCAATCTTCAATACTTGTAACTTGGACTAGCTGAAACATTTCGGCTCACGCAACTTTATGACTCTAACAGCGTTTAAAGAATAACGGCGATGCAATCTTATTGTTCAGGTAAGTGTCATATAATAGACCCGTACTCACATCATTACTGAATGCCTAAGTCAGAAATGAAATAAAAACAGCATCAGATATTCTTCAAGAGGTCAAGAGATATATATTTATATATATATATATATATATATTTGCTAACATGCAGAAATATAGCCATTTCATCGAATCCTATCGATTGATGGCGCTTCCAGCTTGATCAAGCGGCAGGGTAAACAGAAAACACATTTTCATTGTATGCAGGGTGTGTCGTCTTAACTCCGCTACGGAGTAACTGACTTTTCATAGTCTATCAGCTTCTTTTCTAGAACCATTCCGACTCCCACCAATCATAACCGTTTAGGGGACTGGGCGGCGGCTAAGTCCAAAGATTAAAGGCGGGAAGGGCATCTGAGGTTAAGTGTCTTCATTTGCATACCGGTAGGCATGCCGACCGTCTAAGACCCTTGCTTTGAGCCGTCAATTTTTGCGGGAACCATTTCCTTCTCGCCTTAGTTATACAGAAAAGAATACACTTCCTATATAGGCTCCCACATGCTCAGGGATCCGCCACATCAAAATCGGAGCTGGATCATTCAACTGCATCCCATGCATTTAAACTCGATCTTGAAAACTGTGGTCCTAACGCGCTGCTGTGCGTATCAACAAGAACTCTCGTCTTCTGATATAACACTTGTCTACTTCTTGAGCCGAAATGTGTATCAATCAAGAACTATCCGCCCAATTGCGCTTATGGGCAAGCTTTGATCCCACACTAAATGCTGCAAATTCCCGATAAACGAGGAAATTTTCTTGAAATTTTCTTGAAACTTTCCTTGCATATCATCCCTTTCATGTTACGAGGCGAACTATCTCGGTGCAGTCAGACTTTGAAATACCTCTTCATTCCTTAGTTTCGAACGACCCCTTCATAAACACGGGTAGGACAGCAGTAACCTGGGATGAGTGGCAGCTGTTGACGGCTTGGCTTACAGGATGCGAAAGATTCCTTGGCATCCGAAGGATTGGAATTACAGGACTGAGAGGCCTCAATTGGAGACTGAAATATAAATCGCCTGTTCCACCAAATAGGGTGCGGGGAGTTTTGTATGGGACTGTGGGACGAGTACTCCCAAAATAGCCCGAGATCTCGGACTCTGGATGCCGATTCGTCTGACGTTTCCGCTCCATCTGTGTTTCTCATGTAGTTTCTAAGCCCACTTCTGGCAGAGAGATCCACCTACAGTCGGGGCGGATTCAAGAAGTTTGTGGAGCTCCTTTTTCTATTGCTGATGGTGAATCAATACATCTAACGTCAGCATCAACGTTATTTTTGATGATAAATAGTTAGGAGGTAGGTTTTACCACGGTATTGTTCGTGAGAACTCCAGCAGGCGGAGACTTGAGCATCGGCTCGCTTTGTGGTACAACATCGAATCACAGTCTTACTTTTAATTGGAAGCACAAAAGAGACATCGCACAATGCCCTATATTGTGTATCATTATATACGGGCCTCCCCGACTCCATTCGTGAAGCACCCCTGGAACATCCTTCAAACTCCACTACACCTGCAGCAATATGGACCCGGTCATGGTGCCTATTTTTGGAATCGGCTACATCGGGTTCGAATCAGGTGGATTGAACGCCATCCAGAACGCTGAACATATGTGCCATGCAACGACTCCTTCCGATCCCTCGGATTAAAATTTCTTATATTGTTCCATACTACAGAGAGAATCGCAGGTATATATAAATATATGTCAATGCCGGCTCCATCATGCAGAACCCAGACCATTCCCGAGAAGCGAACTCAGGATAGCGTATAGTTCCTCACCGAGCATAGGAATAGTCGAAGGGTTAATCTTGCCGACATATACGTTCTTTATGATGCATACTCCTGTATTAATTATCGGTATTCCCGCTAACCGATCCGAAACCCATTCCAACGCATTCACGGAACCCGTGAGGGCTTCTGTTACATGATCTCCTATCAAGTTTCGATGATACTCGATAGTGGCCCTATTACCACAATATTTTTTCACCAGCGCATCATTGTCTCTAGCTGGGCTTATTTGATCCGCCAAGGACTTATAGATATACAGCGGCATGGTTGGAGTCCCATGGAGGCCCATCTGTCCAGAGACAGAAAGCACTGATGCAGGCACAACATGATCGAGGGACCTCTCACCTTCAACGAAATAGTCGAATATATTAAGGTACGTGCCATCTGTCCCTTGAATCTGACAGCTCATAGCGTGCTTAAAAAAATCATCCTTCTTGGCGGAGCGCATATTCTCGTTCATCCATTCAAGGAGGCTAGGGTACGCCTTGGCAACTCCATAGATGCCTCTAAATAAGAGTCCGACAAATGGGCCTCCATTTATCGTTTCTATGAGCGAGGTGATATTGACGATGGAACCACCCAGGACTGCTCCTTCAAACTGTAGCTCTGGCGCATACGACGGCTGTATCTCTGCAGCCCACCCACCCGCAATCGCACCTCCTGAATATCCCCACATCACGTACCGGACATCGCGGGCCAACCCAATCTTGCGTCCCTCGCTAAGGACTACACGGACCGAATCGAGTGTGGCATAGGCAGATTGTAGACCAGCGGCGAACTGAGCATGCAGTCCTTCATAGTCAGTGACCATCACCCACCAGCCTTGGTTCAGCGCAGGAACTATCTATCGTTTGGCAGGGAATGGTCAGTGAAGGGAACCAGGATAAGAATACGGGGTGTTCAGTGGCTAGGAACCTACCAGCACGATGTCAGTCGATACAGTGCTGTTTGGTAACAGGAGCCCCACGAGTCCACTTGCAGATCCAAAGCGGAGGGTATATGAAGGGCTGCAATCCGCATTGGCGGCGTCGTACGCAGCCTGGTAGACCAGCAGCTTCGACGGATCCGAATTATGCGGGATAATGAGAGTGGTAATGACAGCGACGGGATTGTTCAGACTATCCGTGGTGCGAAACAGGTACTGATAGACTGCGTCCACGGAGACATAGCCACCGAATGGAAGAAGAGGTTGCAGTTTGCTCTCGATCTGACGGGACCGGATCAACTCTCCAGGTCTGTATTTGCTGATATTGGCTGGCTGCACATACCAGCTATCTTGACTTGGAGGGAGAGGTGTGCTTGTGGACGGCGGTTCGTGGAGAGCGCCAGATACACCAGCAGCCCAACCCGAGACTACCCACGTTGCGAGAAGCAACAAATTAGAAAACATCATGGCGCTGATGCGGGTCTGAAGAGATTGCTTGCATTGATGCTTCGAAATAGCGTTGCTATTCCAGTTTATATCTCTGTTTCACGAACCTTAATTTACCATTGTGTTGCTATTTTGCCTCTACTCCTCGTTTCTCATTTTGACACTTGCTTCCAAGCGGTGTTCTTCAGCCTATTTTCCCCTGAGAACTTCATGTCACCTCTCTTTTGTCCCTGCTAGTTACTGCTTCAGAGATGTGTTGCGTCGATGGGGACCTTGGAGTATATCGTCTTCCTGGCCAACTTCCTGTCCAAGCGGCCTTTTTTGGTCTGTTTTGGCAGTTTGTTCTGCCCAAGGCCCAGCCTGAATACGGCACTGGTTAGCAAGGACATACGCGCAAATGACAAACAAGTCATGGGTTTGGAAAAAAAAAAATATTTGCTGTGGAGTTTGAAGCTGTTCCACCGCTCGAACTGGTCGATTCTTGAGACATGCACATCTCAGCTCGTCGAACAGACACAAGCAAGCAGTTGGGGGAAAACAACATCTGTCATGTTATATCAATGCGTACGAGAGAAAACTACAACAAAATTAAGCAGAAAAATATTCGAATTCAAATCAAAAAACATACGACAGCCGGGATTCGCTGGTGGTCACCCACCCAACTACTAACCGGCCGGCGAGTGGCTTAAGTACGGCTGAGCGGACGGGAAGCCCTGTTTTCCACTCCCTGTGGTCGTATGTACTGGCTTGATAACCAGTTTGTCTTATGAACTCAATAACTCGTTAATTAAGCTCAGCGGAACTGCGAAGCGTAAGATAAGCTCAGGATTTTCAGTTTAGATGAAGAAAGCATATATTTATTCATCTGAACCATATTCTTTATTGAAGTCTTTTCAAAAAGAATTTAAGTAGCCATGTTCTAGTTTCAATTGTATAGTAGTGGCAATTACCTTCTTTTTACATGTAATTGAGCTAGCTTTTCATCTCGATTTCATTCAAATACACAGGATGCAGTATTTGAAGTCAAGGCGGGGGATAACTGACATAACCTCAGGAACCCACACTCGTTACGGTGCCTAATGAACTTCCATCTTCCCATCTGTAGAAACGTGGGTTCACAAGATGCAAAACAACAGAGTAACAATCTGTAGAAGCACTTCCACTCGTCTTGCGAAGAGGGTTGGTAGCAGGGCAGGAAATAAACCCTAGAACGTAGTTATATATATTTGAGGGGGCAAGGATGGAAAACCATGTTGACAAAGCTAGAGCCTATGAAGTTAGTAGTTGATTGGGGAATCTCTTACTGAACCACCGCCTAAAGTTTAGTTAAGAAACAACTAGATATTTGCCTAGTTCTCCCTGTCTTTTAGCAGAGAGTGTGTTAGTTAACTATTTAACCAGCTCAATCGCGCACATCCACATCCAAATCCACGCTCTCCATTTCTCCCATTGAGGGTTATATAACCGATCATACAATCTCTTCTTTGTGAATATCCCTTCGTATCAAGTTCCCCAGCCACCCCATAACACCCGCATAACCTACTATGGCAGACGCGGAGCTGGAAGAGGTACAGTAAATACACAGACATAGCCATATTCCGGAGCTCTCGTCCCCTGTTGAACTAGCTACTCGTTTCAAGAAGCCCGTCTAATGTTGTATCCGCTAATAAGATTCGAAAAGTCCGGCTGGCGCAACTCCAGGCGCAGGCAGGAAGTAGTAGAGGATCAGGTGAAGGTGCGAGCAGGGAGCAGAAACAGTGAGTTTTTTAGTTTTGTCCCCGAATCAGATTTCTGCTTGTCTGTTCGTATCCCAGCTATCAGATCTTCTACTAATCAGCGCCATTGTTTATGGGACAACAGGCAGCAAGAAGGTAGTAAAATATCCTCAATATCCGGCTTCCGGTTTCCCTCACCCACCGTTTGATTGCGATGTTTATTCCAGCAAGCACATCCAATAGTTAACTATGCACATACTTGATACAAATAAATTCAAGCAAATACATCTTCTAACACTTCGTTTGACATCCAAATAGCTGACGCCCGCCAAGCCATCCTGTCCCAAATCCTCCTTCCAGAAGCCGCTGACCGCCTTGGCCGGATCCGACTGGTGAAAGAGGAACGCGCTACAGATATAGAGAACAGGCTTATAATGCTGGCACGGACGGGCCAGCTGCGGTCCAAGGTTACGGAAGAGCAACTCAAGGAGTTGCTGAATGCCGTTGCGGAGAATAAAGAACAAGAGAAGATCGTGATTAGCAGGAGGAAAGGGGGGTGGGACGACGATGATGATTTGTTGGATTTGTGATAGAGGTTTTATACGGCGCGAATGGGTGAGAGGAAAGAGGAAACAACTGACGAATTGATGAGATTGCTTACCTCTTTTTTTTTTTTTTTTTTTTTTTTTTTTTAGTCGTGGCGGATACGAGAGATCATGGCTGGATTTCCGTTTGTGGGCAAGCATATTTTGACATCTGATATCCCAATGTTTACATATTACATGAATCGACGTGCAGTGAAGAATGTTGGCCCCATGAATGAAGCTGAAGCCATCTCGGGGAATGGAGATACATGCGAATCGGAGGAGATGGTATTTGATACTCTTGATAATCCCGGCAAAGAGACAGGCCAAAAGTATGATACCCAAAACTCCCGGGCAATGCATCCTATTGTACACGGTGGGTATATATGATTATTATTATTGCATGAGGTCGAATCAAAGTTGCCTCAATAAACCAATCAATTTTGATATTTTTCTCTTGCTGCTTCCGCCGCTTTCTTCTGCCTCCTCATCATCTTCCGTATCTCCCTCAAATCAGGAGGCTTCTCAATCCCCAACTTCTCCCTTAACTCATTAACATCTCGCTCTAGCTCCTCCTCCCAATAAACATTAATAACCTCCTTGCTAGCCAACCCACTCCGAACCGCCCACGGCAAATGCAGTTCCCAGTACCGCTCCCGCTCCTCAGGCTTCAATCGCATCACGGCAAACATACTCAGGCCCGTCATCGGCAGCAGCGTATTCGCAAACTCAAACGTCTTGAGAGCAACCTCCCCCTCAACCACGATCGGCAGGCCGGTGACAGCGTGGTAAAAATCGTGGCATTCTCTGTACCTCTGCATGACGTATGCACATTCTTCGTCGTCAATGTAGCGCACCGTCTCCCGTGAGTCAGGGCCGACACCCTCCCTGTCTAACCAGTTTACGTACGTTCGCCCGACGCTGTTTGGTGGTAGACTGCGGAGGTACTCGACGGAGAGAGTTTTGGAGCTTATGCGGGGTCTGTCGCGGAGGATGCGACGGCCTGTGGGGTTGGATAACATGGCGTCACGGAGGCGGTAGATGAAGTAGGGAGTGGCAGTTGCCTCGCCTAGGGCTGCGATTAGATCTGTTACGCCGATGAACGGAGGTTATTAGGGTATACGTCAGATTATATGGAAAGCTGGTCGGTCCGGGAAAAGGCTGCGGCCCCGGGGGGGGGGGGGGGGGGGGGGGGGGAAATATGGGCTGGAAACTCACCCGCCCGCCTGGGGTTTAGCAGAGACCCAATTGCCGACCCGACTGCAAGAGCTCCGCGTTCAATGGTCGTTAGGGGGATGTGGCCCGGGTAGTTGGGCGGTGGTCGATTTAGAACTGAAAATTCTCGGGACGAGAGAACATAGCTGGACGGGCGGGTGACTCGCAATGTCCCCACGGTCCGTATGCCTTGTCTCACAGTTGGAGGCATTGTGATTGTACGAATTTAGGAGTTGGGCATGCGGGAACCAAATAACTCCCGATTGGGTCGGAACCACTCCTATGCTTTTAACACTGCTTGGTTGGAGTGTTGTTGGAGAAGACTTGTTGGACTGAACGTCAATTAAGTGATGGGGAGGCTTGCACTGACTCGCCGGTAATCACATGATCGCAAATTCAATTCCATTTGTTAGGCATCGATGAAATACATTTGAGATTGGCAACTGATTTCTACGTAATTATGCAACACGCCCACTCCTCTTTGTATAAACAGAGAGATTCATGTTTGCAATCGGAGGCGTTATGCTTCTTCTATTCGACCCGTGGTTTGACAACGGTGGAATCCAGTTAACTACCCCTGAACGGGTATCATTTGTCATTCATTATATTTTCCAAGTTTGTCCAATATTACATTCTCACTCCTACCAATGTCAGTGGCTTAAAGCCCGAACGTATTTTATCTCACTCATGAAGCTGGGAGCTTTGTGCTTCGTCTCGTCGGGCTTGCCAAAGAAATCAGTGGGGTCGAAATGTTGATATTGGGTTAGACATATAACCCGATGATCAATGACAACTCCTGCAGGACATAGACGTGCTTAGGCTAATTCTTGAACGCGATCTTTCATCGCTGGATAAGGATTGAGTGTTGCTGAAAGGAATAAAATGAACTTGGAGAATCAAGCACCATGTACAAACGTTTCTGAACACGAGGGTTGCTGGAACTGAAAATAGCTATGAAACAAAGCTACCTCCATCATACGTTCCATCCTCCAAGGTTCCCCAAGTGATGGAGCACCTTGAGCTGCGCTATTGCGGAAGCACATTGATGATAGACAGTTTTTCCAGGCGTTATAAAAGTCTTGTTGACGATTTCAAGCATTGGTTGGCCTGTCACATACGCCTTCTGGGATCTGGCCCAAAAGGGCTGCCTTCCTCCAGTCCTGCAACATGTCCGGCAGATATCGAGGGGGGAAAGGTATAGCCTCTGTATACAGCCTATCCCAGGAGCTAATTATGAGGCTATCAGTTTCCAAAGGAAAACCCTTGCTTCTTTTGGCTGTACTTACCTCGCCATGGTTGCATGTGAAGGGTAGAGTGCCTTGCAGCCTTCCAGAGAAGAGAAAGATGTTTTTCGATTATTCATGGCTGAGGTAACGGTATAATTTATTGTTGGGAAAGACAAATAGGTTTGAGATTAAGTTCATTGGGTTAATCTATTGAGTATGAGGAAATCAGGGAGTTATATATTTTCAAATCTCTTGTTGTCGTTTCTAATGTGCAACAGGATATGCGCAAAATTCGGGATATCAACCAGTCGAAGCACTCTCGGCTAACGAGGCGGTATAGCCGAAACAGGATTCTGGATGAAGATATCTGCAGCAGATGCCAGGAATATAAATACCTGAGGAGTGCCTTCGCATATTGCTGTAACGTACCGGTGAAAACAACACTGGACGAAGCTTGGGAGAAGACTGAAAAGGAGATCGGGGAAGATTTTTCAAATTCCCAACTGAGATAATTGCTGACTTGTAAGATTGCGCTTTGGCTCTCGTATTGTTTTGACAAATGTTAACCAGTATGTTTTCCTCCCTTGTCTCTTTTCTATATTTCCTGCTAAATTCTCGACAACGACGCGTATGCTCTACAGGGGGGGTGTTCCTGGTATGAGAAATCCTGAAACTGGCTCAATGAAACCATACATTTCGAATATATCACGTTAAATCAGCTCTACCGAATCAAAATCTGCAAACGCTTTGCGTTATTACTGCATTTCATGTTCTCGCCTAGCTGTGGTTGTTATACTGAAGCACCAACCGGCAGAGAGCTTGAAAGGAATCAATTTGGTTGAAATTGCCTGGGTATCAATGAGCAAATCAAACCGGAATAGCTCTTAAACCTGATATTATCTCTAAGCCAGATGTTACTGTATTTAAAGCCCATTCTCAAACATAATAACGCACGAAGAGGGTGTGTTCATGAGGAGATTTGGCTTGTTGAAGAGCAATTGCTGTAACAACCTATGAAGTTCCTCTAATGTTTATTTGTTAACAAACACATGTAGGATAAGAAGCTAGATCCCACAGCAATTTTCCTAGATTCAGCACAGAACAACAAAAGGTTTGAAGAGAAAGCCAGGATTTTAATCCGCATGGGGTGGGGGGAGGGGGCGGTTGGCGTCTACCACTCATGAATAATCACAAACCCCTCATATGAGGTCGCTGTCCGTGAGTTCTCATCAGCGTGCTTTCTACTAGGTTTCTACCATGAAGATATCTCTTCCTTCAATCCTCTTATATGCCGATATGAATTCCTTGCTCTCCTTGACACTGCTTTAATTCGGGGCAAGCCTGTTTTTTTCCCGTAACTTCTGTCCTGGTTGTAGCCTCCAGAGAAATCTTCCTCCCTCAGATATGGATCATCCTACACCCTCAGCAGGGCCAGAGCATGAAATTTTCACAGAATGGGCAAAATCTCAAGGCATTGAAATCAACGGTGTGGCACCGACAAAGTTCCCTGGCCAAGGTGTTGGGCTCTCGGCTCAAAGAAATATTCATGTAAATTCCACATTCAACAACCTCTGATTCCCCAGCACATTTTTGTGCCCTGTCTTTTGTCTCTGGTTAATGCGAATAATATGTTTATATGCGATCAATTTCCTCCCAAAATGCTTCTGCTGATATTTTGCTTCAGGCTGGTGAAATAATTGTCAGAATTCCAGTGCGGGCAATGCTGACAATTGAGAGCGTTCCGTCGGCATTTCGTGAAAAATTCCCTGACGATATTCCCCTTCAAGGGTTGCTGGCAGCATATCTCTGCTGCACAGAAGAAAGCAGGGAGAAATATGCTCTCTGGCGTGCTGTATGGCCTTCACAGCAAGATTTCGAGGAGTCTCTGCCCATTCTCTGGCCACAACATCTCAGAACTAGGGACTCGAAAGCATCCAATTCTACTCTGTCATGTTCATTCCTTCCTCCATCCATCTCAGGTTCATGGAATACGATAACTAAAAAATCCATACGGTGTGAATATACGTTGGAGAATCAAGACATCCTACCGCAACAAGAGAAGCGCCTTGAAATGGCGTATCAGATTGTTAAGCGAGTCTTCCAGGATCTCGACAAGGAGCTCTTCACGTATTACTGGTTGATTGTGAATACGAGGTCGTTCTATCATGTTCCCCCCGGTGTTCCAGTTCCCGAGGACCACAATAATGCCATGGCCCTGTGCCCCTTTGGGGATTATTTTAACCACGTGGATGACGGTGGGGTGGGTTTGCATGTCTATCCCTGGTGATTATGTTGGCTAAGATACACTTCTGAATACTCTGCTAACTGGATAAACCAGTGTAAAGTTACCTGTGATGACTACCAGTATATCTTTAAAACATGCAAGTCCTACGGTATCGTCCCTCTCCGCACATTTGATCAGTTTAGGTACACGATTCTAATGATAGTTCAACTTGGATAGAAAAGGGAGAGGAAATCTTCTCTTCATACGGAAATCACACAAGTGATATCCTTTTCACTGACTGTGAGTCTTGCATTCGTGAATTCAAACCCAGCTTTCAGCTATATTACCAATGCAAAAAACACTTACAACGCAAAAGATGGCTTCGTCCCCACAGATAATAAATGGGACGCCTTGTTCTTAGACGATATAATTCTTAAAGACCTCGCATCCAAGGATATCAATGATCTCAACAGTGCTAGGTACCTGGGGTAAGCAACTACACACCCCCTTTTCTATCAGCATCCAGCGTTTTAAAGAACCATTTTCACTCAACAAATGTGCTGATGGCATCACAGAAACTACCAAATAACGACCACCGGTCCATGCTTTCGAACTGAAGTCGCAGCATGCAAGGGGTATATGGATCACAAAGATTGGAATAACCTAATCCTTGGATATCCACCAGCAAGCTTTGATCAGAGGAAGACGAATGCAATTATTGCAAGATGGATACGAGAATACCTCAATGAAGCGGAGGTGGTGATCTCGAAGTTAAGAGAGTTGCAAGGAAGTAGGGACAATCGTGGTGGTCGACGACTTGAAGTCCTCGTCACGAGGTGGAGGCAGATAGAAGAGCTATGCAAGAGGGCTCTGAGGGCTGTTGATTAGATAGTAGATCTAAATCAGCATAGATCCATGAATATAACCGGAAGAACAGGCACTCCATCCATCGTAGTAATATTATAGAATCGCTTGCACGAGAAGACGAAGGGTGAAAAAATCATGAATAGTAGAACTAGTTGAGCCGAATGTACTCTTAGGCTATATCTTATTAGCGCCCCGCATCCTCCGGCCCCATAACCATAGGGATATCTCCAAATTCCTTCGAGAGCCTAACTTTCTCCCTAGCCAATACCATCTGAATTACCATATAATTCAACGCACACTTGATTCCCAAGTCCTCACCCCTCTTCACAATATATCCGTTCATATACCTAATCTCCGTCGCATTCTTCAGCCGCACATCCTGCAACATGGAACTGACATTCTTCGCCGTGTTCGCCATGACACTCACACCAAGGGTCCGCAGGCGGTCTGGCGCAAACCGCGCCTGAACCCCGGGGATCCCCTGGAGTTCTGGCAAAGCACAAATGACGGCGGAGATCTCGAAGAGCAGCAGACGTTGGATGCGGGAGACATGGTAGTTATAGAGGAGATTGCCGTTGAAGCAGTCGAAGATGACTGTCAGGGGGTTGATGATGCAGTTTATGGCGAGTTTTTCGAGTTGGTGTTGGAAGAAGGTGTCTGGGGGAATTGCGCTGGCCACCAGTTGGGTATTGCGGGTTAGGAGTTGCAACATGTAAAGAGACGAAGACGACCAGACTTCCTTGGATGACGTGGATTGGGTTTCTTCGTGCTGCGTTTGGAGGTCTTGTAGGTGTTGTAATTGGTCTTCGCCTTGGAGTATTTCTGCTTCTTCCCTGCCTTGTTCTTGTTCCTGTTCTTTCGTTTGCTCATGCCCAGGCGTTGATAGTTCCGATGCCTGTTTTCGTTTATACTCCGCAATGCCATTTATTGCTTGAGCTTGAGCTAAGGGATTTGTATATCGAACGCTAAATAGACAGGTACCGACGCCCGCATGCTTGATCACAAAGTGATCCATTTTGAATAGCCCATGTGATATTACCCCAAAAATATAGCTCGGGCGAGTCTCCGGGTCTGGAAATACCTGTTCATTCACTTGCTCCACAACCCCTAGCCCGTTATGCACGAAGACAATGGTAGAATGCGGTGTGAGACGATGTTTGACAGATTCAAGAACGTATTTAACCCTCGTAGCTTTTGACGCAACGATCAGATTATAGATGATTTCCCCATCCGCAGCAGCTGGATCCCGTTCCGAATAACCGCCCGCCATCTTTTGCTCCTTAGCCAATTTTGAATCTTGCGGCACGTAATGCCAAACATCACCTCTTTTAACATTTATATCAAACCCCCATCTGTGCTCTGCTAGTCCATTTCGCACCAATGTTATCCGCTGCCTGTTCTTTTCCCATTGCTCAAGTTTCTTGGAGTTGTGCAGCAAGAGCGTCATTGGTGGTGGGTTTTTTGCGCCTGCTAATGCGTGAGCTAAAAACCCTCCAATATTTCCCACGCCAATGATATGTATTCGCGATGGTATCCTCTGTTTCAGGAGAGAAGGTGGGGATTTTCCAGGCGCATCGTTGTGTCGTCTTTGTGAACTGTGGAAAAGGCGTACGGAAACTAGGCGTGTGCCGATCGTATCAGGACATCTTGAGAAGAGTTGGAAAGCTGTTTTCAAGCCAACCCGCATCGCGATAGATGCACATTTAGCAACCTCAGGTGGTGCTAGGCGTATATAGACTGTCAACTGGGATCCTTTGGTATTCTATTTTGAAGCAGAATGCTGCATCGGAGGACGGAGATCCGGAGATGAAGCTGGGGGGTATGCAGGATGCTAGCAGTTAATATTCATGTGAATCCCTAGGGAATACTCCGGTGAGTCTATATCCGGTTATTTCTTGCTTGATGTTTGCAATTGGAGAATGCCGGTGTGTATGTGTGTGTGTGTGTGTGTGTGTGTGTGTGTGTGTGTGTGTGTGTGTGTGTGTGAAGTCGGTCCGTAAACATTTCAATTTACTCCGTATATTTCGTTCTCTGCAAAGATTTGTGATTACCGCGGTTGACACTAGATCTTCAACCAACAAGGTTATATATTGATTACTCGCTGTTAATATTTCATGGAAATCCAGTACCTAACCTTTCTTTGTTTCAAAAACAATCTACAATACAACGAAGTAGAGATTGCAAAACGAAGCCTCGAAACGTTGCGGATACTGTGTATGCATTTATCAACTATGACGCTAAGTCCACTTTCACTGCTGACATAATCCACAGATTCTCAAAGGCTCCCAAGGATTTTTTATCTTCTGATTGCAACAAGGAACAAGGCAGCTTCAACAACCTCACACCTCGGCAACTATGGAGACCGCAGACTTGATACCGCTGCTAGAGCAGCTGGAGGACGATATCGATGACCTTGAGGAGGCCCTCGAGCCTTTCCTAGGCCAATCTTTGTCCTCCACTACGCAAAAAATGCCGGTGTTGGACAAGGCGAAGCTGCATGTTCTCGTCACCTATGCTATTGAATCAATACTTTTTGGTACGATATTCCTTTTTTAGCGTAACGCTATCGCCGTGTAGCATTATCTGAGCGACAATGCTAACAAGTGCGATAGGTTATTTGCGCCTTCAGGGTGTAAATGCAAAGGAGCATCCAGTTTTTAAAGAATTGACCCGGGTTAGACAGTACTTCGAGAAGCTCAAGGCAGCGGAGACTGTTCCCGAGAAACGAACAACGTCCATAGACAAAGAGGCTGCTGGACGATTTATAAAACATGGACTGGTCAGATCCCTTATCTCCTTAAATGATCACTATCTAACCATTATTTACCTGTTTTCTTTGTTATGTGAAATAGACTGGAAACGATAAATACGACCTGGAGCGGGCGGAAAGGGTAGCAAAGGAAAAAGCCATGGCGTTGTTAAAGGCCGCAAAGCTGGCGCGGCAACAGGCGTCCCAGTCTCCAGCCCAACCATTACCACAATGTCAACCCCAGGCCCAACCCCAAGCCCAACCCCAGGCGCAGCCCGTGGCTCGAAACCCAGCTTCCATAGAACGAGAGAAACCTTCGGGTATGTCCTCCAAATCGGAAACAACAGAAGACCAAGGCAATGAGCAACCCGTGAAGTCTCCCTCACCGGTTGAGCAGCCAATGTCCAAAATAGCCAAGAGGAAGCAGAAAGCTAAGGAAAAGATGCGGGCACGAAAGCAGGAGCGCAAAGCGCACAAACAAGCCATAAAGAGGCATAAGAAAGCTGCAAGCAAACAAAACACCCACAGTAATGGGTGATATATGAGCTGTTGTTTATACTGGGAACCTGTTAGTTTGAGCAAACGATCGATATGGCGTTGATTCTCTTTGGGTTGTGCCAGTAATACGGACCTGGCTCGAAAATCCTCATAGGAACTGGATGCCATTTGTTCATTTGTGAAGTGGGACGTCCATTCTCCATCGATCAGGGAGCTTATACTAGCTCCAAGCGAGTGTGCATCGAGTCGATATTCATTTGGGTGGTGACCATTCGTGTTCGTGCTCGGGAACCACTCCAGCACCATCATTCTCGTCGACTGGCAGAAGAGGAATGTGACATGCAGAGGGGCGTTTGAGGAGGATTTAATAGACAGTTTCGGTGGGAGAGCTGGACAATGAAGTTTGTGGCATCATGCTGTGCAGTTTTTCAGAGATAGAGACCTGCAGACTATGCCATATAACCTTCCCCTGGTAATTCTTTTACATATCCTAGGTATCTAGGGTTTATTATGGGTATATTGTACCTTTATTTCTCCATAACCACTGGCAGTATTACTACATAACCGTATCAATCTTCATCCACTGCAGAGAAACACATAGAAGGAGATGGTAATGCCAATACCGTAATCGTTTTGCATCCTCGGCCCAATTGTTGCCTTGTCTTAATCAATGTCTCCGGCCCGACTATTCTCCATAGCCCTTTGAGGGTCTAAAACTTGCGCGGTTCGAACCATCTACAACTTTCTCTAAAATTCACCTCATCGCATTCATCGCATTCATCGCATTCGATCTCTTCTGCCATCAACTACTTCTCTATACCCTTCCCTACACCCAAACAACTATCGCATCCTCCTCCTACCTTCTCAAAAATGGCTCGCCAACGTCGTGGTGCTGCTCCTGTACGCAGCGCCCCAGCAAGACCAACCTCTGCTCCCGCCAAACCTGCTCCCGCCACTCAACAGCATCGCCCAGCTACCACTGCTGCTCATCCTCCAGCAGTTGCCCCAGGCGCGCAACCTCCAGCTTCCCAGGCTGCTCCCGTCCAACAGAGCGCCGGACCAGGCCTGTTTGGCCAGATGGCCTCCACCGCTGCGTAAGTATCTTTATACACACTAGAAACATTAAAACCAAATTATGAACAAGAGGGGAAATAGGGACCGAACATACTAATGGAACTCATATATAGCGGTGTCGCCGTGGGCTCTTCCATTGGTCATGCCATCGGCGGCCTCTTCAGCGGCGGCTCCAGCGCACCAGCTGAAGCTCAACAGGCACCACCGCCTGCTGCTTCCCAGTCTATGGATAGCGGACTGTACCAAAGCAACAGCGCTACCAGTGGGTGGGCTGAGACACCTGCGTGCGAGACCGATGTAAAGGCGTTTAGAAAGTGCATGGACGACAATCAGGGCAATATGAGCATCTGCGGGTGGTATTTGGATCAACTGGTACGCTTTTCAGACATAATTGGATTTTTTTATCTCTTTTGGATGTTGTTGGGATCAATGATTGTGGATGCTAATTGTTCATGCAGAAAGCTTGCCAGCAGGCTGCTAAGCCATATTAGATGGACGAAGTCGAGTAACGTTGTCAGTTGGGATCTTTCCGGCATGTCGTAAGGGGGGTGGGCTGGATGAAAGATATGGCATAGCGTGTGATCGATAACCTTATCAATTTGTATAGCATACCATTCGACCAGGATTCGGGTTGGATCCTGTCACATTGTTCTTTTTGTACTCTATACTACAAACACTGGTGGTGTCCAAAAGAGAGAGCCCTGACATTGACACCGTAGAGAAACTCATGCAATAGAGAAAATGGAGGCAAAACCAGCAAGACATAAAAGAAACATCTCATTTCTGACAGCGATTATTCCTTCTGATATTAATAGTATGCTGCAGTCGTGATCAATGAAAGTGTCCAGACGCCATATATACGGCACGACGGAAGTAGATAAATGCAGTCCGCCCCAAAGCCATTAGAAACTAAAGAAAATACACCAGGCTTCACTAGTAAAAATAACAGGGGGTTAATTCATGAGTTAAAAAGATAATTTGCCGGGTAACAACAGTTCTAATCCTGGTGTTCATCCTTACGGGGTTCGAAATTCAGCTGTGGAGAGCAGGGAGAGCGGGGAGAGTCAGCATTCTTCACCATATTATTGTAGAAGAGGCATCCAGCGTGCAGAAACGCAAAGCCAAAAACGAGGATATACAATACCTGATTTCCATTGTAAAATTGATGTTGCTTTCCATTATCATCATTGCCATATAAGGTTCTCACATTCGATCTTCCATTGCTCCTCCCAGGCTGAAAACCAGTTCCAGCCGGAGCCTCCGGTGTTCGTGACTCATCTACTACAGCAGAAGCGTCTCCGACGGGCCCTTGAGACAACCCCAGGAGCGAACGTATGGCACCTGCCACAGCACCAACCGTGCTACTGACGAGGGTATAACCGGCATATAGCCCCCGCACAGGAAGGGAGAGTCCCACAGACGAATATGCATCTGTGTAGCTGCGCACGGGAACCATAACTAGATTTGAAGCCGGGCCGAGACCAAGCTCCTCAAGCGTCTGGTGTTCCTCCGAGTCCGATATGTTCCGGCTGGGGAACGGAGTGAGGATCTGTTTTAAATTATACGGCGCGTTGCCATCGGAGCGCTGATTATCTAACCATGGTCTAACGTCGTGCTGGATTGTCTGAGTGGGTGAGAAACTTGAGCGAACTGAGCTTCCATCGAAGAGCCGTATTTGTAGGCGGAATTGGTTTGATGTACGTTGTGGCTGTGGATTAGCTACCGGTGTCGGGGGACTGTTTTCGCTTCTGGTTGAAGTCATCGATTCTCTGCGGGATTCTTGCCTTTTCCGCTCCTCATTATCTAGACGAATCTGATTTAATATATGATCACGCTCTTCATTTTTCTCTAATTGTCGTTTCCGTTGTTCTAACTTCCAGCTTTGAGCTTGCGATTCAGTAACCGGCAGGGGCTGTTGTGGTTCGACATCTGAGACCATTTCGGCTCGTCGTTTGCCAGCCCGTATGATTGCCCTCCTTGTCCTCTCAGCTGTTCTCTGCTCCTCTGTGGCTTCCGAGTCATCGTCTGAAACATGTGTTGTAATAGGTGAGGATGAGGAAAGTGTGTTTTCTGCCGGGGGGCTCTTGTTGTCCATTTGGGGTGGGTTTGGGACTACCTGAGGAGCTGGAGCTGGAATTGGAGCTTGAGGTGAGGAGTCTTCAAGTGCTTTCTTCAATCGACGTTTGAAATCCCCCCCATCAATTCCAGACACGAGATATTCTCGAAGTGCGCCGCTTCTAAGAACAGTTGTTAGCTACAAGTCCGTAGATTAAACGCAACACGAGACACATCTCACTTGATAACCACCAAAGTTGGCACCTTGTTTATAGGGCAGAACGAGGCCAGGTAACCTGCTTCTACAGAGCCCTCCTGGAGCCGTAGAGAAATTGCTGTCTTCTTCATCAATGATGAGATCTAGTACAATAATCGGTGGCAAGTGTTAGCCCCGGTTAGAGAGCGCACTCGTCATGCATCAGTAATTCAATACACAAAGTACATACCTCCTCATCCGCTAGGTACTCGTTCTCCCATTTCGAGCTTTCGTCTGCCTCATCTACATTTTTAAATGAGCAGCAAAAATGCGCCGAAGTTATCAGCATAGGTATCTAGTTGGTAAAAGGTAGCTAAACATGGGGAAGTGGCAGCTAAAGCGGATGGATGGGGGCAAACCTTTGACCAGACAGATAACATGCTTTGCCTCGCTGACCGCTAGGGCTATACCGCTCTGCAAATCTCCTTCGTAAAACATGGTGGGGACATAATAGCATGGAGACTGCGAGTCTTGTCTCTTGCACATGAAGCTCTACTGGAGTTTTTCCATGGGTTTGTTTCGATGATTATTTATTTAGTCAGCGCAACGGCCCAACCTCGGCTTTTTCCGACTCGAACTTTCTTTCAACTGCGACATTTCAACGTAAGCAACAACAACAACATACGCTGTACTTTGTGTATATTTATCTATTTCAACACCAATAATTCTCTTGAAGCACCAGTCTCTCATTTTCAGACTTGGGAGGAAACCCCAATTTTCTGTTTTTGTTTATTTATCAATTTATCTTCTTGCATCGATTTACGTTGCAGATGAAGCCCTCCATTCCCCCGCTACAGAGATTTGCAACAGCAGTCTCAGGTGCAACCTTGCAAGCAACGACACGCAGATTGAACGCGAAGTCAATTTGTTCGCGGTGCTGGAGAAAACAACAAGTTCGCTTTGCCCATCAGCCTGCTGATGATCCCAACTGGATGTCGGTCGTGGACAATCCTGCAAAGCTGGTAAGAACAGGGGGGCGGCACGGTCCCGGTTTGATAATTCTAGGTATGTTACCTGAACACACACACACACACATACATACATATATATATATGTATGTATGTATATATATACAAGCCTCGTGTTCCAATGGCTAAATTTACATTGATTTAATAATATCTTAAAGCTATCATACCCATAACCGCATTCGCACTGGGAACATGGCAAGTCCAGCGTCTGGACTGGAAAAGCAAACTTATCGCCAAATTCGAAGATCGCCTCGTAAGACCCCCTTTACCGCTTCCTCCCGTTGTCGACCCAGACGTTATATCAGAATTCGACTATCGCCGTGTATATGCCACCGGCCGTCTCAGACATGACCAAGAAATGCTCCTCGGACCTCGTATGTATGAGGGCAAGGATGGATTCCTGGTCATCACTCCGCTAGATCGTGGTGAAGCAGGGAGCACGGTGCTTGTGAATCGGGGCTGGATTTCGAGGGATCTTCAGAACAAGAAGGACAGGAAGGCGGGGCTGCCGGAGGGTGAAGTTACTGTGGAGGGATTACTGCGCGAACCCTGGAAGAAAAATATGTTTACGCCGGATAATAAGCCTGAAGAAGGGAAGTTTTATTTCCCAGATGTAGAGCAGATGGCAGAGCTCACGGGAAGCCAGCCCATTTGGATTGAAGAGACAATGAGTAAGAATCATGCTCCCGCCAGTCCAACCAATTTCTTTCCTTTTCCAGAAACCATGTTGCGAAGAGCTAACAGCGGAATTTGCAGAACCTGAGCTCCTGACCATATACCACAGGGAAACAAATGGCATTCCCATTGGACGTCCACTTGAGGTAAATCTGAGGAACAACCACGCACAGTACATCGCAACATGGTAGGTGGTTTCTGTCCTATACCTCCTTCCACGTCTCTGTTGGCTTAAAGATTAATTGCTTTCCTAGGTACGGTCTGTCATTGGCAACAACGATAATGTTCTGGATGATTGTTAAAAAGAAACCGAATGAGATAACCAGGCGGATACGACATAATAAAAGCTGGTAGCTCTGAAACAGATGAATCTCTCCGCTCTTTATACCCACGGGTGATTATATTGAGAAAGCACCTTGATTAGCATCCGGGAAACTTCAGCGTTTTGGAAGACGGATATCTTGCAGAAGCTCTTTGGGTAGGTGTTTTTGAGCGAGTGCAAACGTCGTCGTGTTTTTGCCGATACGTCGTTGCCTGCGTTCCGTGTTAGGATTTATTAGCTTCCACTTCTATGTTCATATCTGAAAAACGAAAGTGAAATCAGGGAAGTCAGAGGCGCCCTTCCTCTTACCTCCTCATGAGTGTTATGACATCCGTCTCATCGATAGTCTTTCTGCCTGCGTGCTTCGCATACGCTAAGAGATCATCACTCGCTTGCTCAAAATACCATTCTGTTGCCTGCTGAATGGCAGCAAGTGTCTCCTTGCTAATTCTCGACTTTCCTCCATTTCCACTCCTGGCAAACCGGGTGGCTAGCTTTTTTACTACCCCAGACGGTAAACGTGGCACGGGAATCCCATGCCGTGATAGCTTCTTTTGCTTGCTACCTTTCACTTGTTCTTGGGGTACCGGTTCGGGACTGCTTGAAGGGGGTGCGGGCCTAGAATAGTCATCCGGCATCGCGAGCTCAATACCCTCCCCACCGACCACGCTGTCGGACGACGGAAAGCCTTCATCCATGTGAAGGTTTGCATCAAGCGCAAAATCTTCTTCTTCATTAACGGGTTGATGTCCGGTAATCCCAGCAACCGTTGGGTCAGGAGTCGGGAAGGAAAAGTCAAGGTTGAACCGTCGCAAGTCTTCAGTTTCACCTCTTTTTTGCATAATCAGCCTCAAATATAGATATAGAAAGAATCCCATGACTCTTACCCTGCGTCGAAAAGCGGTTGTCCCGTTGTATCAGGTCCATGATCATCGTCCTCATCTTCATGTGCAGCCGTATAGTCTTCTTCAAGATCTTCCATTCTGCTGAGATCACCAAAGCGGTCACTAAATCGGGTGCTGCCCAGACTTACCCTGGAGAGGGTTGCCCGGTCCCGTAAACTGCGATCTCGCCTTGCGACTTCAATGGATGTCGTCGTGAGTTCAGCATCTTCATCGAGTGCCAACGATAACCTTGGAGGCGTTATTTCCGGACTACCATCACCTTCCGGAAACATTTCCCTGAGTGGCAGCGAAAGCCTGGGTCTTGGAGGATCTGGCTCATCATCTAGTTCATCGACTACTGGTTTCGGCTGTGGTATCTCCGGTTTTACTGTTGGTGATGATGAGACTGTTCGAGTGTTGGGGGCCAGAACTACATTTCTCACACAGAAAAGGAGATGCCTATTTCAGCAAAGAACTACCTCTAATCGAAGCACGGGGTATTATCATCCCCATAACCGACCTTTCCCAAGATTCCTCAGTATATCCATTGGCGTTTCTCTTTGCACACGTCCACTTTTCCTTCTATCGCGACCAGGAGTATATGTAGCTGCGCGTCTTTGTAACGCCCGTAAGGCGTGGGGAGTTGCAGGGGCAGCATTTCCGCCCACATTTGTACGGGGTGTACGTCTTGCCGAAACTCGGGCTGCCGAGAGCAGAGGACGGGCGGAAGTTTGGGAGGGCGTTCTTGGGTCTCTTATTATGGTGCCAGCAAGTTGGTGCAACTGAAATGTTGTTTTACCAAAAAATGTGAATATATTAGCTAAATATGTCTTTTATTTTACTTGCCGCTCCCAATCAATATTAACGTACGGCATCGAAGGGGCTCTCTGAATCCGCAGAATTTCCATTCCGCGCAGTTCGAGGGGTTCTGTTGATGCGGTCTTTGGAAGGTGACGACATGATCAATGTCTGGTGTCAATTTTTCAACACATGTAATACGGTATAGAAAAGCTAGAGTAATAGGTTCACAGTCAGAAGCAAATAGAAAACCGGTGAATTGGCTCCATTGTGACGCGTTGACGCATCCAAAGGGTTTGTTTTTGTTCTCGCAGTTTCGAAAGCTCTGAAAGAGAATTCTACGTTGGAGTAAACTGAAACAGCATATAATGATGACTAAGCAATATATCAAACTTCAAAAAAAGTTGATTGTAGAGTTTAGCTACGCATTTCTCAGGATTAGCAAATTAGATTATATCTATCAGGACAGCAATGGGTTCACCTGTGCAGTCGGCTAAGGCTGGCAAGAAAAGGCATCGAGAAGATGACGATGATGTCCAGCCAGCAACAGTCTCCACAGCACCTCCAGCAGCGTTGGATCCGAGAGGTAGTCATAAGAAGAAGCGCAAAAGAACGAAACAGATTGTTGAAGATCCGAAAGATGCGGGCAAAAAGGATGGTGTCGACGAGTCGATTGGAAAAATGGACGGTCGTCTCCTGGCTGATTTCTTCGCGCAACAGGCTAAAAGGCACAACAGCGAATTGACTACTGTGGAATTAGATGATGTTTATGTCCCAGGTGAGAGAACACATATTTGACATTCATGCAGAAATTTTGTCGGATGATTACTATGTGTCCCTACGATATTCATCTCCGAACTCCGCTGACGTAGAACAGAACAAGCATTTCTTGATACATCGTCCTGGAAGTCGCCGAGAAAGCTGGAAAACCTTGCCATGTTTCTCAAAGTTTATAGTAAGAAAAGGGGGAACTCTCTTTCAACAGCTCCTGCAGATATGGGCAGCCCCCATACGATAGTGATTACTCTTGCGGGGCTTAGAGCTGCTGATATCACACGGTTAGTATTACCCCTCCAAGACCCCCGTATATAGGCATGCATTATGCACTGTACATTCATGTATTAACAGATTTCTCTAGAGCTTTAAGGCAATTTCAGAGAAAAGACTGTGCTGTGGCAAAGCTCTTTGCCAAACATATCAAACTTAATGAAGCAAAAGAGTTTGTGAAAAAGAAAAGGTAAGTCTGCTCTTGAAAACACCAACGTCAAGCAACAATTTGCTAATTCCCACTAGGGTCAGCATTGGGATTGGTACTCCTGTTCGATTGAATGATCTGGCCAGCTCTGGTGAGTTTTTGCGTAATGAACGTTTCCTGCAGTTAGGTTCCAAACTTTTGACTTGATACTCTAGGGGAATTGAGTCTGAAGCACCTGAAACGGATTGTCATTGATGGCTCATATGTCGACCAGAAGAAGCGAGGTATATTCGACATGAAAGATTTGCATCTCCCTCTTCTTCAATTTCTCAATCGCGCCGACTTACGTGACCGGTATACTTCCGCGGATGACAACGTCGAAATTCTTGTTTTCTAAACCTCGAGAGTTCTGTGTCACTCGCGTTCATATATGGGGTGGCGCTTTACAACACCCCCGTGTAATCTCAGACTTTGGGTGAACCCATAGCGTTTCCTGTATGTGATAACTCCATCATCTGAGGTTATCCATCATCTACCCAGGTTCCTGCAACGGCCAATAGGTACCGTGCCTACAACTAGGGTATGATTTACTGGGATCAGTTGAGAGTGCCAACTGTGTCTTCCGGAAGGTGGGGCAGGATTCCGTCAAGACACTGGATGTTTTGGGGAAATTATCTATTCTTATTTTGATCGCGCAGAAGAGCTGGGATAGACTTGGAAGCGCCAGGATACCATTCCGATTAAACCTATCGAATGTGGAGATCTTTCTTGATAATTACAATCGGCGAAATTGTCCTGAAGAATTGAGACGGGGCGATGCCTTGATATAGCTAATCTTGTCTCTATATATGAGCAAATCTTAGTTAATTTTTGATCTTCAATCCATTCCAAAATAACTATTCCCACAACCGTCCAGCGATATTAGGACAAGTTGGACGAAGTTCGATGCCCGGTTGAGCCAAATCTCTGTGATAATCACCAACATTTGACTCGTAAGACATACATCTATTCGTAAAGGTTACTTACTTATTAATTTCCTCCTATGCGAATCTAAAGAAAGGAGATCGCGATATTTCATTGACCCAATCTCTAAGGATAGCTATTGATGTGGCTGGAGTGCATCACACGTGATTCTCCATCAAAGGCGATGACGGAATCAACATATTCTTCACCGCCCAATCGGCAGAAATAATTTTAGCAAATTTAAAATGAAACTATTAGTCCAAAATTTGAAAAAGAACATCCGCGGAGAATTGCAGGACGAGAAAGCGAAAAGACCTCCGAGAAGTGGGGTTAACCCTATTTTTCGTTAAATGGAACAAGGGCTTTGATACAAAAAAAAAGTAAGCATTTGGCCACTTCAGATCCGGAGGATGGAACTGGTTACCCAGCTCGGTTCCCGCTTCAGTCGCCCATATTAAGCGTTCGAATTGAACTCAAATGAGCTTAAATGAATCATTGATTTCTCCAGTGCCGCTTGACTAATTAAAATCTTTAAAGCTGACATCGTCTCCTAGCCCAATTTTGCCATCAAAAACTACATAATTCGAAATGGGAGACAAGCGGAAACGAAGCCAACTTGCAGCCGAAGATGAGGTGGTAGAGGCTGCAGAGGTGAAGCAAAAGAAGCCCAAAAAGGTCAATAAAGAGAAGGAGAAAAATGAAAGAAAGAAAGAAAATAAGCAGAAACAAAAGGATGAAGTCCAGGCCGATGCTGGTGCTGTGGCTAATGCCCTGGGTATGGATACGGAAATGAAGGATGTGGATGAGGTGCCAGCTGCGACAAATGGTGCTGTAACAAAGGAGACAGAAGAAAAGGCAAAGAAGGCGAAGAAAGAGAGAAAGAAGAAAGAAAAGAAAGCCAAAAAGGGTGACGACGGTTCGAACGAGGTAAAGGATAAGAAAAAGAAGAGGAAAGAAAAGAAGATAGGTTTAAAGGACTCGGAGAAAGGAGTAGTGGAGGTGGCGAACGAGAGAGAGGAGAACCAAGAACAGGTGACCGAGATATTGGAGAACCGAGAGACAGAAGAGAAGAGAAGCAAGAAAGATAAGGTTGGAAAGGGAAAGAAACAGAAAAATGGCAAGAAAGCCAAAATAGAGAAGGACGAGACAATCACCATGTCAGCATCACAACAAGAAAACGGACATGTGGATGTGACCAATATAACAATTGGTCCCGTAACACCCACTGCTGGGGAGCATGATATCGGCAAAAGTCTTAACTTTGCAAACGGAAACGACGGAGAGCAAAAGAACCAGAGATTCATCGTTTTCATCGGTAATCAACCACCATGTCCCCGAATTACCCGCCTCCGCATCTCTTTATGTCATGCTAACTTGAGTATCCAGGTAACCTACCATTCCACACGACCCTAGAAGCGGTACAGAAGCATTTCTCTAAAATCATGCCGAGCCATGTCCGCTTCCCAAGCGAGAAGGGTGGGAAGAAGGGGCGTGGCTTCGCCTTCATCGAATTCGACCACTACGATCGCATGAAGACGTGCCTAAAACTATACCACCACTCTTCGTTCGACGATGGCCAGAACCCTCCCAGAAAAATCAACGTTGAACTAACGTGAGTGTTTCCCCCTTGACCCAAGTCCGATATTGCCTGTTTACTTGTAATATGTTAAAAATCCTTGAAACTTCCACCAGTGCCGGTGGAGGCGGTTCCAAATCGGAGACCCGCAAAGCACGCATATTTGAGAAAAATACGAAACTTTCCGAACAGCGGGCTCGTGCTGCTAAAGAAGCTCAGAAGCAGAAACAGAAAACGGGGGCTGCTAAGACGGCGGATGTTACTGGAACGGCGCAGGTGAAGAACGACCTAGATGATGTACATCCTAGTCGAAGGGGCAGGGTTCCAGGCGTCTAGGACTAGAACATATTGGAGTTTTCCTTTTTGTTGTCAAACGATGAGCACGTACAAAGTGCGAACTTCACTACTAGATGCCGAATGGACTTGAGAGTGATGCATGTCTTCTTTGATTGCTTTGCGGATTACTGGGGTGTTTTTTTTTTTTTTTTAAAAAACGCTTTCTACCCTGTTGGTATGGATATTGATATTGGATTATTTGACTTATTCTATTTCTTCCCTTTATTTCCGCTGCTCCTTAGCTATCAGGGGTTATACAGGAGAGTAGCAATTAAACCTTTCCACAGAGAAACATTCCACAGAACAGTACGGTCAACTCTATTATTTCCCGTATCTACGTCTGGTGTCTGGATTTCGTTTATACCAATTGCGGCTACATGACATTACCTATACCACAGAAACAGGGTCAATGGGTTCTTTCACTCGTCCCATTCTCACCTCCTTCGTCTAGCCCCAACTCTATTGACACAACTATATGTTCAAGGTAATCTCTCAGCCTCTGTCCTCACCAGACTGAATATTATCCAGACATGACCAGATGACACCGATCAGCAGTCCCAGTCGTAGCATCTACATTGAGGAATACACCGGTACAAATTGGGACGGGATATAGTTCCCACCAAATCCATCAGCCGGTGACTTCAAACCAGATAACGCTACCCACCACTGGCCTCACCACTTCCTCCAATTTCAACTACTTTCGGCACGGCCGCATGACAGCCGGTGCCCAACATGCCAGAAGTCCTGGAAGTTTCAATAATTAGACCAGGCCATATTGCCGCCAACATCACCGCTCTCAATACCACCCCTCCAAATGAATCAGAACCTCCACTTGATGGGAACTGCGGAATCTTGTATCTTTCCCCTTGTCCAGCAGGAAAGCACCGTGACGGCTACAATTATCAAGGTGCCCTAATCTCGAAAGAGGTCGCAAGAAGCGAAGGAGATCGCGGAGAAGGAAACGAGGACTTCAAACTGGTATGGTACAAGGCACAGTACGGGGATAACCTGCGCAATCGCTGCTTTGTGCGCTGGGAAGAGAAGGGCTTTGGCAGGCAGAACCTGGATTTGGGTGTTGGTTCCGGTGTGGATGAGGTGACATGTCTCTTTTGTCGAGCGTGGTGGCAAGTGGTGGAGATGACTGAAGATGTAATGGATACAAAACGGATGCAGTGTGAAGCTTGCAAGTTTCTGTTCCTGTGAAAGGTAATAACATAAACATACTAAAATGGGGTTATGAAAGCAGACACAACAAATTCGATTTCATACTCCGTTACGCCTAATAATAATAGCCGAACATGTAGGTCACCAGCAGAGCACTAAGGGGGGAAAAATTGACAAGATGAAAATGAAAAGGAGACTAAATTGGAATCAAAATTGGAAAAAAAGAAGAAATAAGTAAGATGGTGATGTTAAAGAGATTGCAATTTTTTTTCCCCCTTCAGCTTTCTAGTTTCTTAGTCACAGATATTTTCAATCACTTATGGAGAATAATAATGCGCAGCGGGGATAATGGAGGGGCAGTATCTGGTGTTTAGGAAGTGAGGGCGTGTTCGAGTTGGAAGTTTCATTAAACGAGGCAGATAGCTGGCGGTTGACAGGATATAGAATATGGAGACGATGAAGATGTAAAACAGAAAGGTACGGTACGTAGAAGAGAAGAGAGCAAAGAAGGTGTTCATGAACAAGATTGATGAATGTTAATATAGAAAGGGGTGGGTGTATAATGGTGGTGATGCGTGGAGTAAAAGGATAAACCTGGAATGTCATATAAAAAGCCTCAAAGAGACAAAAGCAGAGCAGTCACAAATTGCGGCTGATCAGAAAGGGCCTGAGCGGATAATTTTGGGGGAGGGGGGGTTAAGGGGATAATTGAATTAGTTCGATCGTATTAATTCAATGGAGCCCAACGCATACGAATTAAGCAGGATATGGAGCGAGGGATAGGTAGTTTGAACAAAATCGAAAAGGAGACAGTGGTAGTAAACAGAGCTTGTTTTCAAAATGTGGAAAACTATAGCCACCTTTTCCAAGGTTCGACCCTTGGAGGGGAGACCAAATCGCACCTGCACCGTGTTTCGCATAGATGTCAAGATGTCGCTTGCAGAAAAATAAATAAATAGATAAAAATAAGATAAAATAAAGTAAAGAAAAAGAAATAAAGAAAGAAAGAAAGAAAGAAAGAAATCCTGGATGTGTCACTGCATATTTCGACAAAGGTGGCTGTTAAATAGCGGATATTCGAAAGTAAAACGATAGATTGGATAAAGTCAAAAGGGCGCTGGATGGATTTAGCTGGTGCATTGTTGGAGAACTCCGGGGCCATCATAGACCAGTAAAAATGTTGGTGCGCGAGGGACTCAAGTACTTAGGTCCCATACTGAGGCTATACCGTTTCTCCTCTAAAGAGAAATTTTCCTTGGACGGTGTATTTCACCGTCTAATCTCAACTTATGCGAAGAGACTGAGAAAGATATAGACTGTTCGGAATTATTTAAGTTTATTTCGTCGTGCGCGACTCAGAAATGAAATAAGAGAGAAAGATTGAAAGTCGAATTAGGACAGAATCCCAATTGTAAATGGGAATAGATAGCTGAAGTCGGAAGAAAACTTTTAACATGCTCAGGGGATATCATAGGGTGTGGAGATGAGATGAGTGGGAGTTTCTCTTTTGCATGCGTACTATTGTATCTCAGGCAGTTATGCAGTCGGACGAAGATTCCTGCCGTGTTGAGGGGTGGGGTATGAGAGCTTTAGAGGATTCTGCATTTGGACTTTTTTGGTTTGGCAATGGGACGTGGGTTCAGTACGGCACTGATGGAGAATTAATTAGCATTCCGCAGTGGTCATCACCGGACGGAGAAGTAGCAGTGGTGGTTGAGACATACCGGATAGCTTCGTCAAAGACACTCTTCAAATTTCGCTGTGTAAGAGCAGAGCACTCGAGATACTTTTGTGCCTTGATCTCCTTAGCAACTGCAAGGGCCTGTTCATAGGAAACTGGCTCCATCTTCTTCGCGCGAAGATTGTCAGCAGTGGTCTTATCATCTCGCAGATCCAGCTTGGTCCCGACGAGAATTATGGGCACATTGGGTGCGTGATGTTCGATTTCTGGATACCACTGAGAAACATGTCAATACCAGTGCGAGCGCGCAAGTGAGAGACTGGGGATAGAGTATATTTCTCAGCGCACCTTCGCCTTTACGTTATCGAACGATGGCGGGCTAACGATAGAAAAGCATATGAGGAATACGTCGGTCTGTGGGTATGACAAGGGGCGCAGTCTGTCGTAATCTTCCTGTCCAGCAGTATCCCAGAGTCCAAGACTGATTGGTTTCCCGTCTACCATTACACTGGCGGAATAGTTATCGAACCTGTGCCCGGTTAGAGATATCGAGCAGGGGAGAAACGGGGTGCGAGAAAACATACACAGTAGGAATATATTCTCCAGGGAAGGCGTTTGTGGTGTAAGATATGAGCAGACATGTCTAGTTTCAAGTTAGCAAGAAGGGAGATATATTTTTTCGCGTTGCTTTCTAAACTAGCCGAAAGTGAAGGAGGGATCAAGAAAATCTCACCTTGCCAACAGCACCATCACCCGTAACAACGCACTACGAAGTGGATAAAAAGGATAGTTAGCACAGGTCCAAACTAAGATATCAACGAAGATCAAAACCGGGGGGGATGTAGCTAGCTGTAGGCCACCAACCTTCAGAGACTGAGTAGCGGGTCCAGAGGCCATCTTGGCAATAATTCAACCGAGAAAATATATAATAGAAATATATACTAAAAGTGTATAGTCCAAGTAACAAATATCGAGATGTGTGAGAGAAATTCCAAGGAAGCCGGAAAATATAGATGAATAAAGGAGAGCGAACGTATAACCTAAAAGATTAAATCGAGGGTGAAACGGGTAGCAGGTTCTGAGCAAAGGACGAATATAATAGAGCGCCAGCTCAATTCCCAAGAGGATGGGATAATTCCAAGCGGGTCTTCTTGTCTCTTTCTCTCAAAAGAAGAACAAGATATGGATAGTCGAAAGTGAAG